TTTAAGCAATATATTGAATAAAGTGCCATGTAAATACACGTGACTTCACGGGAGTGCTAATTTGCAGAGCTTGTGCAAACATACCCATGTTGCTATGATCAGAATTTTATTAAAAAATGCTTGCTGTTCTCTCCATTTTTGTTGTGTTTATTTTGTTACTGAGAGGAAAGTGCACAGCACATATTTATATATCCATATAAACGCCCATCAGAGTGGGCGGCGTCGGGATGTTCGATAGCAGTATACCGCTGCTCACGTATTTCGAACTTCGTTTTACCCCTAAATGAAGAACGAAAAAGAACTTCATTTTGAGTATATCAGGGCCTTTAATCTTTTATCCAAGGGCCAATTACAGCAGTCAGAAGAAGCAGAACAGACCATCTCCTCTGTGCCGGTGTAGGCCGTGATGGCGGTAAGAGTGAGAATGCAGTAGTAGAGAGCCGTGGGATTGTTCAGGTCTTGGAGAACAGTCCCAAACAGCTGGAGAAGTTGCTTGTAGTGGGGCTTAAAGGGCTCCGGGTTTGATCCCACCACTTTGCTAAGCAATAAAAGGACCACCTGAACAGAATTTAAAGTAGATATGTGAGAACAGACAGCGTAATACTTCAAAGAAATTCAAATCATCTCAATCATGTGCTCATTCAAAACAAAAACAAAAATCACAGGGTCTTTTTACTTACTAAAAATTTTTATTTTATTTGTAGCGTTTTAAACATTAATATTTTGTTTTTTAATTAATAATTTTGTTCTAATAATAATAAATAGCTATATACATTAATACATATAAACATTTATTATATTGACACATTTATTATAATTTATATAATTATTAATACATTTACTATAAATGTATTCATGTTCAAATTAGTAAATAAGTAAATAGCAAATATTAATGAATTTACAACTAAAATAAATTTTAATTCGAAATAAATTAATTATTAATAAATATTATTAGAGTCTTTTTGGTCACTAACAAAATGTTTAAAGTACCAAATTTTTGCAGTAATGCAGTATGGTATCATGTCAAAACCATGATTTATGAATACGGTAATGATCTGATACAATAAATATCCCATGGTAGTGGCTCAGACATTTTCTGTAACAAGTTAAGCAGGGTTACCTGTCTATCCTGTGGGTTACTGCTTTAGTAGACTGGTTTAATAGGGCGAGAAGAGCAGGCCAGCGGTCTGGGGTCTCATGCTTCACCAGAACTGCGCTCAGCTGAGAGAGAGAGTGGCGAACTGTGTGCCTGAGAAATGGATATAAAGAAAAATGTTTAAAAACTTGAAGTAAAATGCATATGCCAAAGTGTATTAGTAACCTCTGGTATTACCACAGTTACTGTAGCTCTAAGGAACACAGTATTCTACTTGGGGAGTACAGTGCAAATGTAAATATAGTCATCCTTCAGTATTATGGTTGTGTTATTATTATGTTATCACTCTGTACCATGCACAGCCAGACTTACTCAGTTTCTTGCTGTAAAGCCTGCAGCACCACTGCCTTCAGACTAAGGGAGCGGGATGAAAACAACTGATCACAAATTAGAAAATGTACAGCAGAAAAGTAAATGAAAATTATTATCTTATCATTTGCTTTATTTAAGTAATAAGTCCCAAACCTTTCTCTGTGGTCTGGACTGATTTTCTTCCAGTGTTTTCTGACTCTCATCCTGAGCATCACTGCAGCCGACTGACGGACCTGAAGCAAGAATTATAGGCTTTAAATTTAGGACTATGAAAACTAGCATAAAGGCTAAAATTAATGACAGTAAGTTACCTGTGGGTTCTGTGATCCAGTCATAACCGCACATAAAGCAGGGATGATAGCTGGATCTTTAAATGTCTGTTTCAGCTCACCTGTGGCCTGATAAGGGACATTACATAACTTAAATTTAATCATGTGCGTAGAAATTATGAAAAGATAATCAAACAAATACTTGACACAAAAGGTCCACGAATAACGCTAATGCTCGCCAGAACTTTAAAAGACACGCAATAATTACACTTTTCTTTACAGCTAACGTATAACTGATAACGTCCTCTTACTCACATAATCAATATTAAATGCATAAAATATACCAGGATGACAGTTTCATATAGGTATTTCTAACGTTACCTGCTGGATAACGGCGTTGTCCGGTTCTGTCAGCCGGGCCAGGATGCGCTCCAGCTCTTCTGACATGATTTTCACCGTTTAACGTTAAACCGTTATTTATTCAAAATTATCAAATAAACTACACCGGCCATGAGACCAAAGCTGATGACAGGCAAATGACAATCTGACAGTATTTAGACACGATTTGGATCAGATGAAACTCATAAGAATATTAGATATCGATGTCGGTCTAACATAAATAAACTGTCATGTGGAAATATTCTTCATATGCACGACTTCCTAAAGTTACCACGCGGGATGGAAGTAGAAAACGCCGCATGAGTTGGATGTTAAAGGGACCACAGCCTAATAAATAAGAACATGTGATGCAGAGAGACGATATGAGCGCTACTATAACAACAGCGCCAGCTGTGGTTATGGAGGTCGAAATTTACTGCGCACGAGCCTGTAGAAAAAAAAAACAGTTTTTGTGTGCAGAAAAGTCTCTAAAAATCCGTGTATCATTCGATCATTCGTTTTTTGATTTAATATTGAAAGTAGAAAAATGAGAAAACGGCTCCTTTTTCGTTTTTTCGTTTTTCTCCAAAAAACGAGAAACGAGAATTCAGCTTAAATTTTCGTTTTCGTTCATGGGTGGAAAAATGAATAAACAGCTTGAATATTTGATTTCTACATGTGGAAAAACAAAAAAACGAAAAAGGAGCCGTTTTCTCATTTTTCTATTTTCAGTATTAAATAAAAAAACGAATGATCGAATGATACACGGATTTCTAAAGTTGTTCGTATTTGGTTTCTGTTTGTTTTGAATTGGATCATGTTGAGGCAGATGCTTGCTAGAGAAGATGAAGTAGTCTAGGCCCCTACTCAGGCCCGTTATGGACACACGACTTTTTTGTGTTTTTTAACAAAAACACAAAAAAGTGTTTTTGTTAAACACTTTTGTTAAAGTGTTTAACAAAAACACTTAAATTAAACAGAAAAGCAAGCAGGTGCATGATTGAAAGGCGGGGCATAGAGGAGAAACAATAATGTACAGTATGTGGAAAATAATGTGTTTTCTTTTACCTTAAACCAAACACATTTCATTACAACAAATACACAAAATAATGTTCTTTTTAGCAACATCATATGACCCCTTTAATAACCCTTTCCTTACCTATATCCTGCGTTTGGTCCAGGCTCGGTTGCAGAATCACATCACTTTGTGCTTCTGAAATTAGGCTATTATCTTTTTCTATATAATGTAGTAGTTAGCTATCTATGTGTCGTACGTGGCCGCTTGTCAAGCATGAAAAACACAAATTCTGAATATGCACAGCATGAAAAGAGCGCTCCCTATAAATTTATTAAAAAACGGTCACTCATTCATCACGATCTCACAAAGTTCCGTTTTAACCAATGAATGTGACCACACAATGAAACTTTTTTTTAAATGAACTTTACGAGCATGATAGAACTCGGCAACGACCAAAAAGCGGTGAGTGCGTGGATTCCAACCTAAACACATCTGATTGGCCATTGCGTTGTAGAAATCAACAAACATGTCTGTGATTGACCACTTTGCGCCCCTCTGCAAAAATGCATTGTAAAATCATTTGACGCTTTCCAAAACAGAAGGGCAGATACACTGGATTGTTTGCCAAATGTATTTTCGTTTTGCTATTATTACGAAGAAAACATACTAGACCAGGAGTTGTGGGAAGCCTTTCCATCTAAAAGCAATCAGTTAGACTATTTTACACTATGAGTTAGACTATTATACATGCGAATCTAAAGTCAGGCCGTCCCCCAGGCCGCACGTCCGTGGGGGGGCAAGGCGCCGGGCCTGCCCCTACTAATGGGCTATTTGCATTTGAATCTCCATTAAAAAGAGATAGATAGATAGATAGATAGATAGATAGATAGATAGATAGATAGATATATAGATAGTCTGACTTGGTGAACTGGTAAACAAACACAAGGCAGATGCATTGCTGCCACCACCTCCCCACCCATTCACACCTCTTTCCCATATAAACAGATCTGTGGTCTCTCAATCACTCCATGATTATCTCATATTTTCACCTCATACAGAAATATTTCCATTCTAATGCAGCAGACAGGGTGGACTACAAACACACCTATTCAGATGGTAATTTTAAGGCAAGCCTGCTTTAGGCATTCAAACTTGTCCAGCCAGTAAATGCCTAGGAGTGATACATTCCATAGTCCACAAACATTTTCAAAGTTGAAATCTTTAGATTGTTGCACTATTAGGGTTGTAAAACATGTTCACATGAGGCTTTGTCTTGCTTTTGTAGGATTAATAATGCTAATCTAAAGAAATGATTGTGAGCTTCCAATTCCCCTGAAAGAAACATTTTAAAACAGACAATAGATTAGAGAGATAAGAAGACTCTGCTCTAATTTGATGTTTGAGAATTTAGCCTATTTTTAGTTTTAAAATGCTAAAAATATATATATTTCTAAAATCAGGTGCATGATCAAATCATGGGTTAAATGAAATAACTTATTGGGCACATATAATCACAAGTAATTGTTTAAAAAATACATTTCATTTTCATGTTTTGATGTGTTAAAACGGGCCTACGTTTTCAACTGAATGATACATATTTAAGATTATTAGTTCTCTGTTTTATAATTTTTAAAGTTAAATGTTTTAGTTAAAACAGAAAAGTTGATTAAAAGTTTTAAAACCTTTTTATTAAATTTTAGCGTCATATTTTAAAAATATATTTTTTAAAAAGTTGAATACATAAGTTGAGTTTTTATTTTCAGCGTAATTTTCTTAATAAATAAATAATTGTGTAGTTAAAAATGTAAAGCCTGAAACGCTAATATATGCAAATATAAATGTGAGAGTATTAGTATGGTTCAGGTAAATGTGGAATGACGGTGTGGACACCGCCTCTCAGAAGTTGCACCTGATTGGTCCGAGCATCTCTTCGCAGTTCCGCCCCACCCACACCCACTAACCTGGCTTTATAAATCAGCTTCTCCACGCGTTTCCTTCTGGTCACGTCAAGGGGTCTGTTTGCGGGACTATGAGGAGAGCTGTCACCGACATTCGTTTTCGAGGGTAATTGAGCCCTGTGAGTTTTTGTAGTCGGGTGTTGTAAATTAGGTCATTATTTGGCCCTACTCTGCACATTTGCTGTCTACTCTGCGTTTATCTGACGACGGAATGGCGGATTGGAAGATGCCAGTAAGTTACAACTTCAACCCATCTTATCATGCGTATGCATATGGGCTCATGTACCCGCAAGTGTCTGAACACGGCCACCCGAATCTGAGCTGGGCCGAGGCCGCGTACACTCACTCCGGCGGGGTCACCGCGACCTATTACTCCGCTCAAACCGCACAGCAGTCGCCAACCTGGAGCCCGGAGAACGGCAGTGCCAGCAGCTACGGCCAGTGCCCGAGCCACGCGCAGAACGGACGGCTCTTCCTCTCGTATAATAAGACTGAGCCCGATCCGAAGGCGAAAGATGCAGAGCAGGCCGGCAGCGATACACCCAGTGATTCAGAGGCCCATACGCCAGGTAACCCTCCAATGACCCTAAAGCCTCACTAAATTGTTAGAACAATTTAATCTCAAATGATCCCCAGCCAAGGAGCTACTTATAATTTACAATTTCACCGTAAAAAGTTATCTTCTAATTTGTGAATCACCCATTTTTTTTAATGGTATTTATTTATTTAGATTCTACTTTATTTAGATTCTACTTTATTTATTTATCTATTTATTCAGATTCTACTTATTTATTTTACTTCTAAGTTTCACATCTAATTAAATGTTTTACTTCTCCCTATTCTGTTGTGAGGTTTAGTAGAACTTTCTGAGTTAATTTTCATGTTTTTTCTTTATTGGGTATAAATGAGGTAGTTTTGAAATTAAACGTCTAACTAGCAAAGTACATGTTAAAATTAATGCATATTTAACTCTTTAATGAATGAATGTAGACTTTAAAAAATAATAATTTATGCATTTATGGTATGTAATGTTTTTTTTTTATATATTTTGAATTGGCTTTTATTTTGAATACAAGTAAGCTTTAATTTTGTAATATGCTTTTGTCATCTTTCTTAGTTTTAGTATTTTTAGTGAGCCACTTTAGTAAGTACTTTATTTCAAAAAAGTGCTTTATTTCAATGACCAAAAACAATTTTTAGTGGTTTTATTTTTTTTTTGGATACCAGTAAAGCTGCCCCGAGGTGTTCTAGTTTATAATCGCATGTAAAGGAAATGCAAGCAACTTTTATAAATGCATTTAACTGGTTCATTAAATATTTTCTGTACCAATTGTAATGGTCTACAATTATTTATTCATTTATTTTCCATTTGAGTAGATTCCTGGAGCTCAGGCAGCAGTCATGAGGGGGCTGCTCTGACCAACCTCAATATTCCATCCTGGGGAGATCGGGACTATGAAACGGACAGTGGCAGTCCTGACAGTGGAGAACAGATCTCATCTTCCGTCTCTACAGCGAAAGAGGAGCCAGTGAGTCTCAATCTGGGGGTGGAAGCCTTGCCTCCCCTGCCTGCTTTGACCACATCTACAGCCCGACCTCCAACCCAGACCCGCAAGACTCGGGCTGCCTTTTCTGAGGAGCAGATGACTGCCCTCATCCACCGGTTTAATATCCAGAGATACCTCACGCCTGCAGAGATGAAGACGCTTGCTGGAGCGACAGGACTAACGTACAAACAGGTTGGCGAGAATGTTGAAATGGTTGAGGTTTTAGTAGATTGTCATCATGATGATCAACTCCTTATTTCTCCCCAAAGGTGAAAACGTGGTTTCAAAACCGTAGGATGAAACTCAAGAGGCATCAAAGAGATAGTAGCTGGATGACGGAGAGATACGTCGTCAATGCCGTACCCAGCACACCAGCTCCTCACTCTCAGGTGAGTGTAGTTTCATGTCAAAACATTTATTAAGGGTGTGACTGTGGTTTGTCATGATTTATCGCAATACAATAAATAAATTTAAAAAATCATTAATGGCAACCGCATGTATTGTGTAGATGAAGTTTGAAAGACATCTTTAATTTGGGCTTTTATTCACATTTAAACATTTTGATGCACATTGAGTGCATCAAAAATGGTAAACCTGGAAGGTTGCTTACATTTAATAAAATGCGAAACTAAAATAGATTGCTTTTTCAACATTGGTAAGAGATGTTTAAGCACCAAATCAGCATATTAAAATGATTTCTAAAAGATCATTGATGCATCATCTCTTCGAAGTAATGATTAAAAGAAATTTAAACCGTTTGGCTTTGTTTTAAAGTATTGTGAAATCCGTATTGAACTGAATCATGGCAGTGTATTTTGCACCCCTCTGTGCAATTAAATTCAAAGGGTCCAAAACAAAACTTTTTTTTTTTTTTTTTCTCTTCTAAAATCTTTGTAGCACAGAAGTCATACTGGTTTGGAACAACATTTTAAAGTGTCTACATTGTTACTTGTTCTGTCTTGATGCTAGCAGAACTGAACATTTTGGACGTAGAGCAAGTTATCATCTACAAAGGAGGCATTTCAGTAGTTTGGTTAATGTCTTAAAGGCATGATGATACAAATGACCCATGTTTTGTGTGTGTGTGGGGTTTTTTTTTTTTTTTTTTAAAGCACATTCTAACACCCCATCTTTCTTGGTTTCAGACTGAAACCCCTCGAGCAACCCAAGACCCCTACAGTAACCCTCAGGTGAGAGAGTCTGTGTTCAAGAGGAGTCCTCCACAAACACCCTTCTACCCCAGCTACCCACAGCCACGCTCTCCTCTCCAGGCCACCACAAGACCCCCGGGAAACTGGCCTCTGCCCCCAGCTGTGATGCACTACGAGTTCCCCAACCCTGCTAACTACATGCAAGCCCGTGACGGCAGCGATGCAGCGAACAAAGAAGGCAGCCCTACTCAAATGCCATCCATGCTTGGTGCCGCACAGTGGACAACGAAAGAAATGACTTTGCTGTGAGTCCGGCTGCTTTTGTATTTTCAATTTCAGCCCCCGCAGCCTTGGGCATTCACTGTATTTGTACATTTTTATTTTTGGCAACAAACTGTCATATTTTTAGGCAGTGATGTCATGGGTTGCCAGTTGGGGCCAAATGAAACATGTCTCAAGATTTTTTTTTTTGTAAAGTTTGCCTTTTTAATACACTCAGCATGTTTTATACCGGAGATCTATTTTTATAACTTCATTGTACCTTTCAGAGTATTTAATATCTTGATCCTTTGCTCTTTCAGATGCTTGTTTTCTTTTTTGATTTAGTCAGGACAAGTTGATTTCTTTGAGCTACATGAATTTGTATATATGCAAGGCACTGCTCTAGATCTGATACGGGAAAAGGTTGTCTGTACTGCACTGTTTTGTTCTGTATTAATTTCTCTGCGTTTCACTGCTGTATGTGATCTGTGCTACATTTGTACAATTTCTTATTTAAAAAAAAAAAAAAAAAACTGAAAAAGCTGTGCAGGGTTATCATCAAACTAAAACTATAACCATAAAAAATGAAACAAAGTAAACGTAAACTGAAATAAAATATAAAACAAGCTTATTTTATTTCAGCTTTATTTTCGTTTAGTTTTACTTGAAATCCTAAAATAGCTAAAAGAATGAATAAACTAAAACTAATACAAATAAATAAAAATAAATAATTAATAATAAAAATGACAAAAACACACAACAAAATTTAAAAAAAGTCTACAATTTCTAAAAAAAAAAAAAAAAAAAAAAAAATCATGCTTGTCTGTACAAATGGAACAAAACATTGTAATTGCCACTGATTTAAGCTTGTGCTTGCAAAGTACTCCCACCCACACAAACACTTTTGACCCAGTTGAGCAATACATTTTATCTGAAGTTCAATTTGAGTGGTGTTTGTTTTTTTTTGTTTTTTTAAATAAACCCGAGTATGTACTTCTGTCTTTAAGCGTTATTTGCGATTATTGGTTTTTAACCATGCTGCTTAATGTTTGGCACTTCTATACTCTCTTCCTTTGGATGAATATATTTTTGTCAGACAGTTGTCACGTGAACTTATGTATAGTATGTTATACCTAACAGGCATTCTTTTCTTTGTGTTAATAATGGGAATTTACAACTAATTTAAATTGGATTATAATGACTTTGACGTTTGCAGGCCTGGATGCAGAATCAAAACACTGAGGTTGCTTCTGAAATTAGTGCGGGTGCTCTAGCCTTAATGACATCTAGTTTGACACACAGACTGTAAGAAGTGATGGCCACACGTCTTCACTTCCTTACACTAGAAAAGTGAAGCCAAAACATCCCAGATATGGCCACTGTCATGTGTCTGACATCATTTGGAGTCTGTGCAGTACTGATCATGAGCTAGACCCTCAGTATCAAAGTCCTGTCCAAATTCCCACAGACCCAATCACAAACACTCAATCATGAAACCACACCCTGTTTTTATAGTATAAAAAATCTAAAAAGCAACTTATTAGGGAAAAGCAAAACACTTTTAACATCACCGTGATAAGAACCACCTATGATGGAGAACATCTTTGGGGGGGAAAATTATTTGAAATTTTGGATTACATTTGTTTACATGAGGAGGGTGGGGTTTATAATCTATATGCAGCCAGCCACCAGATCAAAATGTTTTGGCTTCACTTTTTAGGGTATGTGAGGCACACATTTGATTTGACATTTTTGTTCCATGGATTGCAATTTCGGGAGTGAATCCCACATTTATATGCGGATGTCATTCCCAAAATTTTGCAGCGCGTATGTGGCCTTTGGTCCTCTTAACAGCTTGAAAAACAAAACTCGTATTGAAATTCTGTATTGATTATATATATAACCGAGAAAGCATGCGAAGAGCACTTCCTTCAAAATAACTAAAAAGCTGTCCCTCACTTTAATTTCGCGATCTCACGAAGTTTTTACAATCCACATAGTTGTATACATTGCATGCAAAATGTTCTTTGTTCTTTACGATTAATGAGAGGATTCGTGACCGCACAGAACTCGGCAATGAAAAGACTGGCATTTTGAGCGTTGGATTCTAACTTAAATGCCTCTGATTGGCCATTGCATTCAAGAAATCAACACTCATGTCTGTGATTGGCTACTTTGCCCAAGGCTGCAAAAATATGTTGTAAATAGAAACCTTTGACGCTCTCCAGAGAGCAAACACAAATACGCACTGGAGCATTTGTCAAATCTGTTTTGCCAGTATCAGATGGGATTCCCTGAGGCCCTAAGCAGGAGCTTATTGGTCAAGTCTGCCCCTTCCTGCGGATTACATCATAGTGCAACTTATTACTTTCTACTGTATTTTTGATCAAATAAATGGAGCCTTGGTGAAAGAGACTTTTCAAAAATATTAAAAAGCTTACCGACTCCAAACTTTTTAACGGTAGTGTATAACAGTGTTTCCCAACCGGGGTGCCGTCTGTCGAGAGCAGGGGTGCCGTGTAAAAAATCATTTTTTAATATTTTTAAATTGCTAAAATGTAAAAAAAAAAAAAAAAGCATCTATTATATTATATCCATTTCTGATGTCGCCAATAATTAGAGATGCACCGAAATTCCGGCTGCCGAAAATTAGTTTCACTTTCACGTGGTGTGACGCTCTGTGTATTATCCCGCTCTATGCGTGTGCGCTCCGCTCAGTCGCTCCACTCGTATACCGTTCATGCTAATCGGAACAGCAAAGTCCACTCAAAAATTGAGCCGACAGGAAACATCGATGTAGTACAGTATTGTTTCTGTCTGCAATAGCCCTACTGTGTTGTAACAAGGTGTGGTATATGGGCATCTCTGGTAACACTGCCCTCTCATTCATTGATCTGCTAACCGCTATGTTATGCTCACGTGTTCTGATAATAATAGCTTTCTAGGACTAAACATTATTTGGATAATTGGTAAAAAAAAAAAAGAAATCTCTAAATAGCCATACTGTTAGACCTGAAAAACTAAAAAGCAATTTATTTATCTCATGCTACTGCAACAAAATGACCCAACTGTAAAATCAAAAATACAGAGTGAGCAAAAATTTGTGAGATAGTTTAAGTTATAATGGTAATTAAACAATGTTTACATATGAATAAAAGCCTACATTAAAATCTGTCATATAAATTGGTCTCCT